CCCAGGGGGACAGCTTGAGGCTCTGTCTCAAAAAAAAAAAAAACTTACCAAGCACATAAACATTTCACTGTATTTTATATGACCCTCATACCCTTTATTTAATACTCACGAGATCAGCGTATTTCTTACAGAGAGCTGCCAGTTTCTCCTCTGGGGTTGAAAGGGTGTTTAGAGCCTGCATCAGTAATAAAACTTCTTTTCCTGATGATTAACAAAATAAGAAATAAGTCCCAGAAATGAGATCAAGTGTAACTCATGAATTCTACTAACACTCCCCATTTTCTGACATCCAGAATAAAATAATTTATGCCTATAATTAGAAATAAGGGATTTACCAGATCAATTAGGAAAGCTGTCTTTAAATTCCAGATTAATAGATCAACTCCCTCCCCATGTCTGCCCTAAATTTCTCCACTCACTAACACTGCTAACTATTTATAAGAACTCTGGTTGAAGGTTTAAAAATTTCCTTGCCTAATCCTTGATGTCCAAGTTAAGACAAAGGGCAAGTTACAAAGGGCAGAGAATATTTTTAAAAGCTTCCTCCTAACCAAGTACAAACACAGAACCAAGTTCAAAGGGAATTGCAGTTGGTACTACACTCTGCCTACGATGTACATAATCACTAGTGACACATATCTTTTCCCATGAACAATTCAAATAACTTATGGTTTTCTTAACTGAGAATATGCTAAGCATACTCTGTGTGTTAACCAAGATTTGTGCAAATAAATGGATGAAAAGATAGCTCTTCCCTTAGGGAAAACAGTTTAACAGTATTTTAATAACTTAAAATATTGCAGGTGGCTAAAAAGAAGACAAATGGTACTGCAAAGTCACTGATAATGTTTTATTTCTTTTTTTTTTAAAGCAAAGTCTTACTTTGTCACTGTTGGTACAGTGCTGTGGCATTTTAGCTCACAGCAACCTCAAACTCTTGGGTTTAAGTGATTCTCCTGCCTCAGCCTCCCAAGTGGCTGGGACTACAGGTACCTGCCACAACACTCAGCTATTTTTAGAGACAGGGTCTCGCTCTAGCTCAAGTTAGTCTTGAACTCGTGAGCTCAGGTAATCCACCCACCTCGGCCTCCCAGAGTGCTGAGATTACAGGCATGAGCCACCACGCCTAGCAATGTTTTATTTCTTAATGTATATCATAGGTACCATTTTTATTTTTCAAAATGTTCACTCTTATGTGCAAGATATTTCATATAAAGTATGTATTTCATTCAAAATACATATGTCTTAGGATGGCGCCTATAGCTCAGTAGGGCACCAGCCACATACACCAGGGCTGGTGGGTTTGAACCCGGCCTGGGCCAGCTAAAACAACAATGACAAATGCAACAACAACAAAAAACAGCCAAGCACTGGGGCAGGCACCTGTAGTCCCAGCTACTTTTGAGGCTGAGGCAAGAGAATTGCTTATGCCCAAGAGTTCGAGGTTGCTGTGAGCTGTGACACCATGGCATGCTAACCAGGGTGACAGCTTGAGACTCTGTCTCAAAACAAACAAACAAACAAAAAAAATACGTATGTCTTAAAAATGAAGTTGGCTCGGCGCCTGTGGCTCAAGCAGCTAAGGCGCCAGCCACATATACCTGAGCAGGCGGGTTGGAATCCAGCCTGCACCAGCAAACAACAATGACAGCTGCAACCAAAAAATAGCCAGGTGTTATGGCAGGCACCTGTAATCCCAGCTACTTGGGAGGTGGAGGCAGGAGAATCGCTTGAGCCCAGGAGTTGGAGGTTGCTGTGCGCTATGATGCTACGTCACCCTACCCAGGGTGACAGCTTGAGGCTCTGTCTCAAAAAAATAAATAAATAAATGAAGTTATTTGGTATATGGGCTAACTTCAAAAAGGAAAACTTTTCTACCCACATAAAATTTTATTAACAAAATTTTCTGGGCTCAGCGCCTGTGGCTCAAG